CCAGGGCAGGATCCCCGGCCGGGGGCAGGGACGTGCGGGCTGCGGCCGCGAAGAGCAGGAGCTGCCCCGGCGGAGGCAGCCGTGTGTCTGTGCTTCCTACCGAGTGGCAGACTTTGGCAGATGTAGGCAGGTAGGAAAGTGGTAACTATTTTGAAGTACTGGGGAATTGAATCTTCGTATGAATTAGGTCCGAGGTTCAGTTGTACTTAGAATAGTTTCAACGTGGTATTGCTGTATGAAAATACCTTCTGAAGTTCAAATACTCCGTGTGAATTAACAGCTAAGTGTTGTCACAGGCCGGCGATAGCTAATTAGGTCATCTTCCCTAGGAACACTTCAAGTACTTAGAGATGTGGTTTAGCCGAAACTCCAAGGGAAGTTGTGAATATAGCTAGACAGTTTCCCTCTGCATGGGATGAAATTAGAGTCAGAAAACACATATTTACTGAAGTATGTCCTGCTGTATCCAAGAGGATATATGCTGTATACCAAGCAGGTATAATTGTAAGCTGTTTCAAGCTTGTCCTGTGTACAGTTGTTGAATGCATACCATGAAGCTGGATTCCTAGGTGTTTTGGATCACTCTGGTTGTTAAACAGCAATCTGAAATAAATACCATCTTTAATTAAGCTGGTCTTGTAACTCTCCTTTGATGTGGAAACATGCCCGCTGTCTCATGTGATGCATTTCTCTAGATAAGAACGAAAAGGTCGATATCGTGACTGCTCCTACAATGCACACATCCAGTCACTCTGCTGTAATTGTGCGGGAAAATAACAAGATCTCAGGATGTCCATGGGGCCACAGCTGTCAAGTGCCTTCCCATCTAAAAGATTCTGTGAGCACCTGCACCTGAGCACCTGCACCTTGGAGCTGGACCCTTGCCGTCCTAACCCTCAGTCTGTCTCTGATCTGTGCAGGCTCAGGTTTTTCCCAGTGATACTTGCTGAATGTACTGAGGTTTGCTGCTTTATGTGCCTTTAGTTTTTACAGTTGAGTGTCCAAGCTGTCCAGGCATCCAGAAATGAGGTATACCTTGATAAGTTCTTCTTGGAGAGTCCAAGTTTCTTTAGATATCAGGGGATCAGGCCTACTTAAAAACCATGCAAGGGAATACATTGCATGCCTTTTTTTCCCCTCTTCCTGTTATTTCTAGGTTTTGTCTATAGCTGTTAGACACATGTGAAGAATCAAGTTCTGATTTTGTATCTTTCATTTCTCAAGAGAGCACTAGACACATAAACCTTTGTGCTGTTCTGGGCTGGTGGTCTCTGGCTTCTTACTTATGAAACTGTTTCACCTTGCTTTCAGTATAGAAATATTCATTAGATGAGCTGTGATCTTACAACTCGGTGGCTAGGGCATGAATTCAGGAGTGGGGAAGTTTAATTTTTTTGTCCTTTTACCAACTGTATGCTAAATATTAAAATACATATTTTCTGAATACATGTGGTTAAGCAATACTTAATTTCAAGAGAATACATTTATTACTAAAGTGTCCCTTGATTCTTGCCAATACTCATAAAAATGACACCTACTAAAAGCGTTGCACCCAGAGGGTATATTGGACTTCACAGATGTCACATGAATTCCACTGCCCTCCCCTGCACTTAATTCAGATGATGGATCCTCAGGTGATTAATCCCTCCTTCTTCTTATGCTGTAGAAAGAATGAATGTGGGCAGGGTTGCTCAGTCAGTCATGTGTGTGTAGGCTATTAATTTACAATGCTGGAAAAAAAGTTTAGGCACTGGTCTCTAACCTCAGGCTTAGTTGTTTGCCCTGTTTGTTCTGTCACTTGTTTCGTATCAGCTGGTTTGCTTTTCTCTCAGCCTCCGTTCATCCTCTCGTGGGTGGTTTAGTTTCAGGTCTAAGTGACTCTAAATGCACTCCCCAGGGCTGTGGCTTGGCTGTGAAATGGGCAGTCCTGCTCTGGCCCTCTGTTTCCCCCACTGCATTCTGACCCCACCTTGTGCAGTCAACCACAGGAAGAGTTGGAAAACTACTTTTTTTAAGGGAAAAAAAAAAAAAAAGTTTGTTTATTTTGGTCATTTAATTTTGTATCTAATCAGTGAGCTGAGCCAATTCATCATGCAGCTGTGTGTTTACTGGGTCCTGCAGGAATGGCTGTTGGAAAGGCAGGGATGAACAGCCCCCCCAGTAGCAGCCAGCCCTTTAAGCAAGATCGGGACAGGCAGATGCAGCCCCCATGTGTGGTGGGCAGAGCCAGAGGACCTGTCTTATCAGAGCAGCCTCAACTAGGAAGCCAAGCTTTGGCTAGCTTAGGCCTTCTGTCTTCGTGTCTCTCCTATCTGCTGTGGCTTATACCACAAAGAAGTACACATTAACTCTGGTGAAACATTTATTAAACTTTTTTTTGCTTGATGAAGATGCTATTTACTTCATTTAGTGAATTTTATGTGATGCATATCCTAACTTATTGCTCCCCTCTTTGGACTCTTGTTAAATTTTATAAAATAATGCCTTTGTTTACTCTGAATTGCTATCTCCCCAGATACCTTAAATCTGGTAAATATTCTCTTAATCTAAGTAGGACAACACCCAATCTCTGTCAGCAGAGAACTTAAGCTCACTCTTTAAAGTGAAAGGCAGAGCAAGCTCTGACTTGAAGTAAAACAGTCTCTGAGTTAAGCCATGTTGTCATTCTAGTTAGTAATGCTGCTCAAGCTCCATCAGAATGATTGATTATGCAGGGAGAAGTTAGACTGATAGCCTTTTGCAGCCAGGATTGATCTTCACATCTAAACTGAGAAGACTCATGTGGAAAGAGATTCAAGCCCTGGGGTGGCTTGAGCTTCCCTGTGTTCCATTATATTTTTTAATGATCTTAATACATGAAACCTCACAGAATTGCCGAGGGTACTTGTCTTAAGCTTAGTATGAGTATTTGTTTGCCTGTCATTGCAGCTGAAGTTTGCACTAATTCAGTGCCAAAAAAAAAAATTATGTCGTCAATCTGGTGCTTATCTTTCCTGTAAATTGTACCCTGGTGATTTTGCTTTGAATCTTTGTTTTCCAGTGATCTAATAGCAAGACTTAAACCGGAGAGAACAGATAATTAGGTCCCAAATGAAGGGTGTTGATGTTTGGGGGGTCCTTGTGGTCACTGCAATGGCCTGAAGAGTGAGTTCTGGAGATGCTCTTTTGGCAATTAAACCAGCTTTAAAATCCAAAAAACACAGTCTGTAAGGACTGTGTGTCCCAGTGACTTTGAAACCTCCCTGGCACTCCATTAATTTAGCACCTATGCTTTGAAGCCTGGAACCTGGCTTTAGCCGGTGCCGGGTGCTGCGGCCTGGGCAGGGGGCGCGTGCTGCGGGCACTGCGCTGGGCCCTGTCCACAGAGCACGAGGCTGCTCAATGCACACGAGGCTGCCTGGCTTCTGTGGGACAGCCTCATCATCAGAGCTGGGGGGCCCTTCTCCCTGCAGGAATGCAACCCCTCTCCACTGAGCTCTCGGGGCTCTGGGCAGAGGGGGCTGGATGTGGCCTTGCCCACCCTGCTTGTCGAAGCTGGGTCAGGTGGTTCATGTGGCCAGAGATGGCCTAGCCCTTGACCAGGACTTGAGAGAGGCTGGAGAGGGCAGGGAAATGCGAGGCTGTGGCAGAATTCCCTTTATAAAGTTCAGGCCTGCAGTCAGTCCACTGTGATTGTATGTCTTCCAGTAAGGAAAGCACCTGCCATGCAGAGAGAGGGGTTAGTCAGGATAAGGTTTAAAAGTCACTTGAGCAGTGCCTTTGTGGTTAATGGTGAACTGATACAAAACCAAGTTTTGTCTCCTGTTTCTGAAAGAAATTCTGTAGTTTAGTACTTCTAAGAGACGACAAAACATTCTCAAGACCAGTTTAATTTTTCAATAGGGGGAAATTCTTAAAATTTTAATTCTGTGTTGATTTTGTTGGGGCTTTTTTTTCTCTATGATTTACTTTTGCAAAAGGGAGTTGTTGACATCTAGATTGGGAGCTCTATTTGACTTTCCCATACAGGTTCTCCTCTTCTCAGCAGTGATTAGAGCTGCAAAAAAAATTCTTCCATAAAGCCTTAATAAAATGACATAATCTGCCTGAATTACTCTGACTTTCATTCTGTTAAGTGGTATAGGTACTTCCAGATCTAGTTTCACCAGTGTGTGAAATCATGGGTCCAGAATCTCTTAGGAAGAGTGTTGATTCTCAACCCAATAAGATTTTAAGAAAAAAACCATACATTTATGGTATAGCTCTTGTTCACTGTGCTGTTAAACAATTCTGTCCTAAGGGAAAACAGGGAATGGTAGCTTCATGCTGCCAACTTATGCTCTCAGGACCTCTGTCTTCTCAGAAAGGAGCAAAGCCCCACCACCGTGTCCCAGAGCTGTAGCAGCATTTGGGCAATAATGATTGGGTTCTTAGATACTGTCATTAAATTGAAACAGTTTTGATTTCTGCTGTTTCTCCCCATGTCTGTGCAAACTCCTTGAAAAATGCCTCTGTTACACAATGCCTGGTTACCACTCATCTGGCTGGGCAGCTGCCAACAACTCCAGCCAGTACAGCTCTCTGAGAGGCACTGCTGGGGCTGT